TCACTCCATCGCTCCGGCCCCAGCCCTGGCGCCCACGCCCGCTTCCCCTCTTGGTGGATCTGACTCCTCGGCCTCCTCTGCGCGGGTCACTCAGCGTCTGTCCTTCCGTGTCTGGCTTCTCTCACCGAGCCCAATGTCCTTACGGTTCAGGTTCGCCATATGGTGGCAAGGATCAGTGCTTCCTTTTTTTTTTTTTAATCCTCACCCGAGGATATTTTTCCATTGATTTTTAGGGAGAGGGAAAGACAGAGAGAAACATTGATGTGAGAGAAACACATTCACTGGTTGCCTTCTGCACGCAGGGCCCGGGAGGAGCCTGCAACCAAGGTACCTGCCCTTGACCAGAATCAAACCCAGGACCCCTTGGTCCCAGGCCTGAGGCTCTATCCACTGAGCCAAACTGGCTAGGGCAGGGCTTCTTTCCTCTTCTTGGCTGATACTCCAGCGTGGGATGGACTCCATGTGTTCATTCATTCACTCATCAGCGGGCACTGGGGCCGCTGGGAGTGCGGGTGTGCAGTGCTTGTGGGAGTCCCGCCCTCCGTTCCTTTGGGTGTCTACCGGAAGGGGAACTGCTGAGTCATACAGTGACTCTAATTTTTTGAGGAACCACCGAGCTGTTTTCCAGGCAGCTGCCCCATTTCTCATTCCCACAAACAGGGCGTAAGGGTTAGGTTTCTCCCCATCCTCACCGACGTTTGTTATTGTCTGGTGTGTGTGTGTGTGTGTGTGTGTGTGTGTGGACAGTAGCTGTCCTGATGGCTGTGGAATCTCTCTTTTGAAACTCCTTTCCTTTGTGAGAAGTTGAGGGCCGACCCTAAGGCCGGAGGTCTAGTTCCATGCTAGTTTCAGACGTCTAAGGCAGTTCCTCCGGTTTCTGCTTCCTGGGGCCCACGGCCCACACAATCCCCTGCCCGTGGGCGTGAAGAACCCCAGAGGTGACGCCCGGTCCCTCCCGGGATTGGGTCCCGTTAGGTGAGCAGAGGGCCCGTGTGGCTCCCGGGCCCGTCCTCCAGGAGCGGGTCCTCCCAGGGGGCGTGCTGAGCCACTGCCGTGAGTCAGCAGGCCTGACAGCAGCCCCTGGCCAGCAGCCAGAGAGAAAACGGGGCCCCAGGCCTCCAATGGCGAGAAAACGCGTTTTGCCAGCAACAGCAGCTGTAAGCGGTCCTTCCCCAGGACGAGGGTGCGGCGGAGGTAACACCGTGGCCGCAGCCGCCCGAGGCCTGAGCAGGGGAGGCGGCTGAGCTGCGCCGGCATCCTGGCCCACGGAAGCCTCGAGAGAGGCAGCGTGCACTGTGGCCCGCCGCGGCCTTCCCGGTGGCGGCTCCCAAAGCAGCAGCCGACAGACACGCCCTCCGCACCGCCTTCCGCCCGCCCGCCCGCCCGCCACCGGGCTTTTTGCATCCTTTGTTCTGACGGTCGGAACATCTGTTCCTTCCACCGGGCACGTACGGAATTCTTTTTCTATTTAAAAAAAAAATGTATTTTATTGATTTTTTACAGAGAGGGAGGGAAAGGGACAGAGAGTTAGAAACATCGACGAGAGAGAAACATCGATCTGCTGCCTCCTGCACACCCCCCACTGGGGATGTGCCCGCAACCAAGGTACATGCCCTTGACCGGAATGGAACCTTGGGACCCTTGAGTCTGCAGGCCGACGCTCTACCCACTGAGCCAAACCAGTTAGAGCTACTTACTGAATTCTTATTTATCCTTCGGGATCCAGCTAACTCAGGAAGCCTCCGCTGGCCCCTGTCTAGATCAGAGCCCACAGTGCCAGGGATATCTCTATTTTTGAGCCTTTATTGTTGCCGTAATGTTACATTATTTAGGCCTCTGCCAGGAAGGTTTAGGCTCAGAGAGTCACAGCTGCCTCCTTCAGGCTGGGTACCCAGCATCGGGCAAGCAGGTCACACGCACCGGACAGATGGGGCAGCGAATGAATGGCGCTTCTATATTCAATGCTGAAGGGCAGGAGGGCCCCTCCCGGGCCCTAATGACGGTGATGACAGGACAACTCAGAGAACACAGGGATCCTTAGACCCCGCGGCGGGGCAGGGGGCCGGCTGAATGAGCGCAGTGTGTGTGTGTGTGTGTGTGTGCTGGGGGGGCAGGGAGGGGGCCGGCGAGCTCACAGTGTGCGTTTCCAGCCTCCCTCGCAGAAGGGAATCTTGGTGTCTTTGTCCCCGAGACATTTCATCAAGCGATTCTTAGAGATTCTTGGCTCCCCGGCAGGCAGTTCAGCTCAAGTGTGAGAATAAAGGGGCGAGTGTTGTGCGGCCTCGCTCCCCGCCCGCCCGGTGCACGCCGCCCCTGCCGTCTCCCCTTTCCCGCCCGCCCGCCCGTCCGCCCCGGTGGCGGCCGTGCAGAGGACCTCCTGACAGAAGGCCCTCCGCATCCTCCACACCCACCCGCTTATGTGTGAATCCGTTAGATGTCGCCGTCACGGCCGCGTCTGGAATGACGTTTGACCCAGCAGCAGGCCCAGCCGAGTGGATACACGGAATCCGCCGTCCCAGGGACTCGCTTCAGCGTCAGACGTGTGTGCTGTTCCTTGGAAATGCACACTGAGCGGGGAGGCCCGCCTTGTGTCGGACACCCAGGCCCGCTCCCCATCCCCGGAGTCTCCAAAGCGACCCCTGACCTTCAGGGAGGCCCTCCTCACCCCCCCATGCCCCCCACCCCCTGCCCCAGCCGAGTGGCATCTTCACGGACCCGCCAGTGAACACAGCACGGGCTGTCCCCCAGCTCTCCTCGCTGCGTTTTTTTTTTCTTTCTATCTTTTTATTATTTTTTTTATTTTATTTTTAAAAAATATATTTTATTGATTTTTTTACAGAGAGGAAGAGAGAGGGATAGAGAGTTAGAAACGTCGATGAGAGAGAATCATCGGTCAACTGCCTCTTGCACACCCCCTACTGGGGATGTGCCCACAACCAAGGTACATGCCCTTGACCGGAATCGAACCCGGGACCTTGTAATCCGCAGGCCGATGCTCTATCCACTGAGCCAAACCGGTTTGGGCTTCACTGCAGTTTTCTGATGGGGGGAGGGGGCAGTGTCCAGGGGTGGATCCCCTCCGCCCACACAGTGCGGCAGCCTCGGAGCCCAGGCCTCTGCAGGAGCTGCTGGTGACCCAGCCCTCTGGCGGGAAGGCTCCTCTGGGGCTGGGGAGGCTGTGGGTTTGGAGGAGGGGTCGGCTCAGGTCTCGGGAACCTCAGAGAATTGCTCCGGGGTGGGGTGGGGGCTGTGTCTTAAGGCTCTGTCTTAGGGCTCTTCTGGTCTCGAGGGGCAGAAACCACCTGCCTTACGTGGAAAAGAGACGTGGTTGGCTCTTGACAAGAAGTCTCAGAGGCTGAGGTGCCGGGGCTCAGCCCGTCTCCATCTCTCAGCTCTGCTTTCCGGGGATGGAGCCCCGGGGCTCCCAGGAGGAGCGCAGCCCTCGGTCTGGAGACTTCTGGACTCTATTTATGACCAGGTACTAAGAGAGAATAAATCCATGTTCCTTTAAGCTTCTGGGTCTGTGGCCATGTTACAGCCGCCCCAGAAACTCCTACGTATTCTTTCTAGCAATGGGCTCCAACGGCCTCCAGAGAGACTGCGTGCACAGCTCACATTTCTATCATTTAAAGATATAGTCTTGCTGAGACCGGTTTGGCTCAGTGGATAAAGCGTTGGCCTGCGGACTGAAAGGTCCCGGGTTCAATTCCGGTCAAGGGCATGTACCTTGGTTGCGGGCACATCCCCGGTAGGGGGTGTGCAAGAGGCAGCTGATCGATGATTCTCTCTCATCGATGTTTCTAACTCTCTATCCCTCTCTCTTCCTCTCTGTAAAATATCAATAAAATATAATAAATAAATAAATAAATATATAGTCTAGGGGCCAGTGTATGAAATTCGTGCGGGGGGAGGGGGGGTCCTGCACTCTCTCCAATCTGGGAGCCCGCAGGGGATGTCTTATTGATGGCTTAGGCTGCTCCCAGCGGGGAGCAGGCTTAAGCCGAGGTCTGGCCTCCCTCTGCAAGAGCAACCTGGCTGATCAGGGGAAGGCGCCGCCCCCATCACCCACTGCTGCTGCCACTGCTGGCCATTGCAGCCGCCAAGGCGTTTTCATCAACACGGACTTCATCCCTTCACCACACACACACAAAAAAATGACAACTTTCTTTAGGCATTTTCAAGATGTCTCCTTCATAGGATATGACATTTCTTTCTTTTTCTTTTTTTATCCTCACCTGTGGATATGTTTCCATTGATTTTTATTTTTTTATTTAAAAAAATATATATATATATTATTGATTTTTTTAGAGAGGGAGAGAGAGAGCTAGAAACATCAATGAGAGAGAAACATTGACCAGTTGCCTCCTGCACACCCCCTACCAGGGATGTGCCCGCAACCAACGTACATGGCCCTGACCGGAATCGAACCTGGGACCTTTCAGTCCGCAGGCCGACGCTCTACCACTGAGACAAACCGGTTTCAGCTCCGTTGATTTTTAGAGTGTGGAAGAGCGAGAGAAAGACAGAGAGAAACATCAATGCGAGAGGGACACTTTAATTGTTTGCCTCCTGCATAAGCCCTGACCTGGGCATGTGCCTTGACAGGGAATGGAACTGTGACCTCCTGGTTCATAAGCTGACGCTCAACCACTGAGCCACCCCAGCTGGCTTTCTCTCCTTTTTAAAAAAATTATCTTTATTGTTCCAAGTATTACATCTGCCCCCTCTTCCCCCCTTTGCCACATCTAAGTTTTGAATGAGATCAGCATTTAAGTCGGCAGATGTTGAGTAACACAGAAAGCCTGTAACGTGGCCTGCTGCATGGCCAGCAGGCCATGCTTTAGGGCTTTTTAAGATGAGTCTGCTGGTGCCCAGGGCACTGTGGACGGCTGCCACATCTGCACAAGGTGGCTCCGGGGGAGAGCAACACCCTCCAGCGCTGATGTCTTTCTGCCCCTTTTCTGCCGGCGTCCAGGTGGCTGTCGGAGGGTCGGGGAGTCATGGAGCCCGCCGCTGGGGACTTACAGCCCGTGCCCGGGGCGACCAAGGACGTGCCTGCGCCAGGCGCTGCGTGCTGCCGAGTGGTGCTCTCCGGGGCGGTGGCCGCCGGCATCGTCATCCTCACCCTGGCAGTCCTCGTGGGTGAGTGGCTGGGGGCTCGCGTGGGCTCGTACACTGGGTGCCTCGCACAGTGACGCTCAGGGGTGGCTTCATGGTGTCCGCGGGATGGCCCCAGAGACAGAGGGCTGAGCGTGCAGGCGTGGAGCCGAAGGCTGGCCCTTCCTGCCACCCACGGACACGACGAGCAGAGCAGGCACCCACTGAGGTGGGCGGGCACACGGGCAGGCCGGTTAACACCTGCGTGATTTCATTCCCCACAGCTGGGCTCTCCGAGGACCCTTCTGCAGCCGGGATGAAACGGACAATTAGGGACAGAGAACTTATTAAAAGTCTTGAGAGCCCTGCCAGTGTGGCTCAGTGGATAGAGCGTCAGTCTGCAGACTGAAAGGTCCCAGGTTCGATTCCGGTCAAGGGCATGTACCATGGTTGTGGGCACATCCCCAGCAGCGGGTGTGCAGGAAGCAGATGGTCAATGTTTCTCTCTCATTGATGTTTCTGATTCTCTCTCCTCTCTCTTCCTCTCTGTGAAAAATCAATAAAAATATTTTAAAAAATTAAAAGTCTTGAGAGCCTGGCCGGAGTGGCTCAGTGGTTGAGCATTGACCCATGAACCAGGAGGTCAGGGTTTGATACCCAGTCAGGGCACGTGCAGAGGCAACTGATCTTTTCCCTCTCTCATCACTGATGTTTCTACCTCTCTCTCCCTCTCCCTCTCTCTCAAATCAATAAAAACATGTGTGTGTTTTTTTTTTAAATAAAACAGAAGTCTTAAGAAACTTGAAAAGTATTTAAAAAATGAACAACTGTCTATATTCCACCACACAATGGTTCCCATTTCATATTTGTCCCCAGTAGACACTGATAGAGTTTAAAACGAAACATGCAAAATGCTGACCCATCTGTACGATGTGAGACCGCAGTTATAGAAACCACAAAGGAAGTTCTTTATATATATATATTATTGATTTTGTATAGAGAGTAAGGGAGAGAGATAGAGAGTCAGAAACATCAATGAGAGAGAGTCATCGATCAGCTGCCTCTTGCACACCCCCTACTGGGAATATGCCCGCAACCAAGGTACATGCCCTTGACCGGAATCGAACCCGGGACCTTTCAGTTCCCAAGCCGACGCTCTATCCACTGAGCCAAACCGGTTTCGGCAGGAAGTTCTTATATCCCAGCAGAACGCGCTGCAGGTCCCTGCCGACGGTGCTGTGTCCCAGGCGTCCGCGCTGGCAGCCCCGAGTCCCGTTGGCTGTTTAGAGTGGAATCCACTAAAATGAAATAATCTTTAAAAATGAAACTCCCCCGTCCCCATCAGGCACGTTACACAGGTGGCTCGTGGCTACTGTACCGGACGGCACAGATCTAGAACCTTCTGTCGTCTCGGGAAGTTCTGTGGCTCCGGAATGGGCTTATTCTGAGAGGATAAGGTTCTTACGGTTTCATTTGCGACTGGGAAAGCCACCTTGCGTTCACGAGATGATGATAGCAAGTCGTAACTTGGCAATCCTCGGGGGGGTCCCCTGATTTTAAAAAAATATGTATCTGTGTAACATCAGGAACATCTCACAGTTGGGCACAGCTCACCACGGCCCCTAGTGGCTCTTGGCATCAAGTGCAGGAAGTTGGGTGTGTGTGTGTGTGTGTGTGTGTGTGTGCGCGCGTGTGAATGTAGGCAGTGGGTGTGGGCGTGTTCACACGTATGTGTGCGTATGCGTGTGTGCCCATGCACGAGGGTGTATATGTGTGTGAGAGTGTGCCTACGTAGGTGGGTATCCTTGCACCAGGGAGAGGAGGAGGCAGGGGTTCACACCTTTATTCTAGAAGCACAGATACATTTTGCAACTAAGAGATAAACGTAATCCCCAGCGGGACCCCTGAAACCAAGGAAGGCTTTAAGAAGCACTTAAAGCAGTACTGGGTTCGATTCCGGTCAAGGGCACATGCCTGGTTGCGGGCTCGATCCCCAGTAGAGGGTGTGCAGGAGGCAGCCGATCAATGATTCTCTCTCATCATTGATGTTCCTCTCTCTCTCTCCCTCTCCCTTCCTCTCTGAAATCAATAAAAAATATATTTAACAAATAATAATAGTAATACATGTTTGCCATTATGATCATTTTTGCTAGTGTGTCCTTTTGATAGTCCCAACAGATTTCATCAGTGAGAAATGTGTGTTTTCATGGTTTATTGGTTGCTATTGTATTAGTTGTTTAGCATTTTTATAACTATCATTCCTTGCTAGTGTGTGCTCTTTTCTTTTTTAAAGGTGCAATCTTTTAAAAAAATATGTTCCTATTGATTTCAGAGAGGAAGGGAGAGGGAGAGAGAGAGAAACATTAATGATGAGAAAGAAACATCCACTTGATTGGCTGCCTCCTGCACGCCTCCTACTGGGGATCAAACCCAAACCCCGGGCATGTGTTCCGACCCGGAATGGAGCCAGTGACCTCTTGGTGCGTGGGTTGACGCTCAGCCACGGAGCCGCGCTGGCCGGGCGCTAGTGTGTACCTTTGACAATATTTCCGACCGTTGTGAACCCAGCGTTTTCAGAGGGGGGTGTCCTGGGCGGTGGCCTGTGGTCCCGGTGCCCGTAGCTGTGGCCACGCCCTGCAGCGTCTGGTGTCCCCTTCCCAGGCTGCAGGTGGGCTGCTGCTCTGACGTGGAGGGAGGTATCCTGGGGTTGTTTCAGCCGTTTTTGGCTGACATCGGCCTCAGGCCCTGGCCAGGCACACCCAGTGAGACAGAGATGCCTGGAAGTGAGTCCTGCCCTCACACAACACCCGGGGCCTCAGGCTCTGTGCTGTCCCCGGGGGGCATCTGGGTGGGGGCATGTGAGTGTGGAAAAGGAGGCTCTGTTACCATCAGCCAGGACAGCCCCCGGGGAGCCAGCCCCCCACGTGTTTACCAGGTGACCAGCCCCCTGGGGACGGGGCCTTTGCGGCCCCTGAGCTGACCCCGGTCTCCCCGCAGCCTCCCTCTCCACGCAGGGCGTGGACGTGGAGCACACGGCTGAGCTGCGCGGGATCCGGTACGCCCGCAGCCTGCAGCAGGAGGCCTCCGACTACTACCGCGCGCTGACGCCCGCCCTGCAAACGCTGGTGAGGGGCTGGGGAGCCAGGGGGCAGGTAGGGGGCAGGGGGCCAGGTGGGTGGCCGGAGCGCCCGCCGAGAGCGGCTCTCGTGCCGGGCTGGCTGAGCCGGGGAGACCTCGGTGGGTGCGGGGCAGGGCGGCGGGCACTGGAGGGACCGGACAAGGCTGCGTGGCCTGGGCGGGCACGTGGTAGAAGGCAGAGAACAGTGCCCACCTGGACATGGCTCCTGCAGGGCTTGTGGGCCCCGTGTGAAGGCTGTACATTGTCTTCCGGGGGAGAAGGCTGGGAGGAGTGCGGAATGGGGCGGCTGCCAAGGAAAAGCCTAGCTGTGCATCAGAAAGTTAAATGCAGGGTCCTCCTAGGACCCAGCAGTCAATGCTGCTCCTCGGTATCCACCCGAGAGAGAGAGCCCTGCACACGGGTGCTCCCTGCAGCAGGATTCACAATGGCCCAGCTGCCCCTTGGCCGATGGACGGACACACCGGGGTGGGAATGGGTCCCCAACACTGCAGCATGGAAGGGCCCTCTACATGTGGTGCCTAGTGAATCCAGGCTCTGTTTTAAGATTTAAGGATGGCCCTCGCCAGTTTGGCTCAGTGGATAGAGCGTCGGCCTGCGGACTGAGGGATCCTGGGTTCCATTCTGGTCAAGGGCACATACCTGGGTTGCAGGTTTAATCTCCAGTAGGGAGCATCCGGGAGGCAGCCAATCAATGATTCTCTCTCATTATTGATGTTTCTTTTCTTTTTTTAAAAAATATTTTATTGATTTTTTACAGAGAGGAAGGGAGAGAGAGAGTTAGAAACATCAATCAGCTGCCTCCAGCACAACCCCCACCAGGGATGTGCCCACAACCAAGGTACATGCCCCTGACCGGAACCGAACCTGGGACCCTTCAGTCCACAGGCTGACGCTCTGTCCACTGAGCCAAACCAGTTTCGGCTCATTGATGTTTCTCTCTCTCTCTCTCTCTCTCTCTCTCTCTCTCTCTCTCTCTCCCTCTTCCTTCCTCTCCAAAATCAATAAAAAATATATTTTAAAAATGTAAGCATGAATTAATTAAAATTAAAAGGTGAAAACCATTTCCTCAGTAGCTCCAGCCACGTTTCAGATGCTCAGGAGCCACCTGTGGACGGTGGCTGCCGTGGGGGCGGGGCGGGGCGGAGGTAGAACATCCTGGGACTTTGTAGAAGGTCCTATGAGACAGTACAGCTACCGATGCAGGCAGTTAGGGAGTGGACTGCTGTGTCCATCACCCACAGTAAGCCCTGTCCCCGTCACCCACCCCTGCTCCCAGCCCCGGCAGTCACCAACCACGCTCTGTGGCTCTGCCTGATCGGAACGTGTCTCGTCCACGGAATCCCACGCTGGGTGGCCTTTCCGCGTCTGTCTTCTCTCGCTGAGCGTCCTGCTGACAAGGTCCCTCCCCCTCGTAGCAAGTGCGGGTGCCTGATCCTTTTCACGGCTGAGTGATTTCTAGTGTGGATGGAGCCCACGTGTGGCTTCCGTGGAGCAATATTTTCACATGAGTAACTTCGGGATGTCCTCCGTGGTATCCCGTGGCTCTGGGCAGTGGCCGCAGGCGTGGGTCTCAGAGCAGGTGCTTCCCACCTAGGGTGGGCCTTGTGGGGGTCGGGCCCGTGCTTGGTCTAAGCACTGGCCGCTGTCTCCGTTGCAGTTTGTCGGCAGCTTCAGGAAGACAGAGCTGGAGGCCCGTTGCGCGGGCTGCACGGTGCTGAGCTACCGGTGAGCGGGCCGACGGGACCTGGGCGGACACCCGGGGCTGGGAGGCTCCGGCGAGGGGAGCTCGCCCTCCACGGGCCTCTCTCCCCCTGTCCGCAGGGACGGGAACTCCAGCGTCCTCGTGCACTTCCGGCTGCACTTCCTGCTGCTGGCCCTGCGCTCGCTGGACCTGGGCCGGGAGCGGGAGCTGCTGCAGCAGGGACTCCGGGCGAGGCTGCAGGGCCACGGCGTCCCCCTGGCTGCCCACGGCACCATCGTGTCTGCCGAGCTCACAGGCAAGTAGGCAGGGGAGACCCAAGACCCTGTGAGGCTGGGGGGGGGAGCATTAAACTTTAGGTTTTCAATCATCACCCCCCGCCCTGCTCCACCCTCAATGGTATGGACCAGGTGTGAATGGTTAGAGTGTAACTGTTTTCATCTTTGTAAATATGGAAGATGGACTCTGCTATAGGAGCACAAAAGCAGCCCAGGACAATGTGTGAACGAATGGACATGGGTGTGTATCAATAAAATTTTATTCACAAAAACAAATGGTGGGGCTTGGCTCAGTGGATAGAGTGTCAGCGTGCGGACAGAAGGGTCCCAGGTTTGATTCCAGTCAAGGGCATGTATCTTGATTGTGGGCACATCCCCAGAGGGGGGTATGCAGGAGGCAGCTGATCGATGTTTGTTATATATATATTTTATTGATTTTTTTTTTTTTTTACAGAGAGAAAGGGAGAGAGATAGAAAGTCAGAAACATAGATGAGAGAGAAACATCGATCAGCTGCCTCCTAACTGCCACCCACTGGGGATGTGGCTGAATCCAAGGCACATGCCCTTGATCGGAATTGAACCCGGGACCCTTCAGTCCGCAGGCTGATGCTCTATCTACTGAACCACACCAGTTTGGGGTATAAAACTATATTTTTATAAAAACAACAAGAAGTGGTGGGTCTGGTCTGGCCCATGACTGCATTGTGTTGATCTCTGGTATGGAAATAAGATAAATTCTAAAATCTGAGGATGCACCACACTATTGTCAGAGGGAAGACTGATCACCTCGCCCTGGCCCTGGCCCTAAGGACATTTAGGGTCCCCTCCCCACCAGCCCTGACCACCAGCTGAGTCTCAGTGGCCTGCTGACAAGGTCACTCTGTTCCGGGGGGGGGGGGGGGGTGTCTCCTGGCTGTGTGGCCGCTGTGGCAGCCGCCAGCCCCGTTGGCTACGAACATTTGTCACGTGGCCGCTAGACTGAGGAGCATCGTGCTCCGTCTGGCTTCCTCTCAATTAAGTCAGACGTGTAAGTGGCTCTCACGGTGCACAGAGCTGCTCTCCGCGATGTTTTCAAAGACTGTCGCCGCTCCCCGAGTGAGCTCCTCTCTCTCCATTTCTCTGCAGGAAGCCAGAAGGGGCCACTGGCGGAAAGAGACTTGAAATCAGGTATGTTTCCTCCCGTCCACAAGCCCCCTGCCCTCGGCCATGTTTCCTCGGCCTGTGGCCACGGCCAGAGGGCTCCTGCGACTCGGTTCAAGGGCGCGAAGGAAGTGCCTGCCCTGAGTGAGCGCTGGCTCCGGGCACAGGTTCCAGCCTGTGTGTGCACAGCGTTTGCAGACGGGGCCTTCGCTAGAACCTCGGCTATGGAGGGGGTCGCCTGGGAAGGTATATGAATCCAATCCCTATCCGCACACCTGCAGCTAATATGATAACTGGATTTCAGCTGTCATTGAAAAATACATTTAAAAAAATTCAACTAAAGATGAGGCACTTTGAAGTATACATGGCCAAGCATGACTAAGGGAAAACATGCCTGGGTTTTTATGAAAACCCCATAAAACATTCTGGGTTTTTATGAAAAGTGGTGGAAACCTGCTGTTAAAAAAAAAAAAAAAAAAAAAAAAAAAAGGAGCCGAAACCAGTTTGGCTCAGTGGTAGAACGTCAGTCTGCGGACTGAAAGGTCCTGGGTTCCATTCCAGTGAAGGGCATGTACCTTGGTTTCGGGCACATCCCCAGTGGGGGGTGTGCAGGAGGCAGCTGATCAATGACTCTCATCGATGTTTCTATCTCTCTCCCTTCCTCTCTGTACAAAATCAATAAAATATATTAAAAAAAAAAAAGTTTGTGTGCCACAAAGAAAAGAGAATAAACGCTCTCTGGAATGTCATCGCTGTTAATGTTTTAGTGGCCATCCTTCCTGTCAGCCAGACACACGTGTAGACGCGTGTATTTCATGTCATCTCCGTGCTCCTCCGGGGTGACGCCCTAGGACACAGAGTGCTGTCCATGGCTGTCACAGCTCCCAGCGCCCTGGACACCCGGCCACGATAGGAACCACACACTGAGAATGGTCAGCGTGGCAAGGTTTATGTTGCCTTGTTGACCACAGTGAAAATTCTTCAATTTCATTTATTTCTCACTTTTTTAAAACACGGATCCTAGAAATGTGGGATCCGTGTTTTACATGCACGCAGACACTCCCACCCTGGCCTCGGTGCTGACCGACATCCCTGCTCCTATGGAGAGCCTGTCACAGCCCCGGAGAGGAAAGGGGAGGGGGGAGGGGAGAGGGGAGAGGGATGGGGAGAGGGGAGGGGAGAGGGGAGGGGAGAGGAGGAGGGGAGCGGGCAGAGGGGAGGGGAGAGGGGGAGTGGAGAGGGGAGTCAGGAGGGGAGAGGGGGTGGGGAGAGGGGGAGGGGAGGGGAGACGGGAGGGGAGAAGAGGGGCTGAGCGGAACATGGACCCTCCTCTGCCCGCAGGGCACTGCCCGGGGAACGCCTTCTCCTGTGGGGACGCCCAGTGTGTGACCAAGGTGAACCCCGAGTGCGACGACCAGGAGGACTGCTCCGACGGCTCCGACGAGGCGCACTGTGGTCAGTCCGCCCGCGGCCGGTGTGGCCGCGCCCCGGCCCCCGCCGCACAGAAGCCCGTGGCCCCGGCCGCCTCCCCGGGGTCGGGGTGAGGCCGGGCGGGTCCGGGCGGCCTCGGGGGAGTGGGGGGGTGTGAGAGGCCGGGCTGGACCCGGGCGGGCGGCCTCCCCGGGGTCGGGGAGAGGCCGGGGCAGGTCCGGGCGGTCTCCGGGGCGGGTGTGTGTGTGTGTGTGTGTGTGTGTGTGTGTGTGAGAGGCCGGGCGGGTCCGGGGCGGCGGCCTCCCCGGGGTCGGGAGAGGCCGGGCGGACCCGGGCCCTGCGGTGACTGCCTTGCAGACTGCGGGCTGCAGCCGGGCTGGCGGACGGCCGGCAGGATCGTGGGCGGCGTGGAGGCGGCCCCGGGCGAGTTCCCCTGGCAAGTCAGCCTCCGCGAGAACGACGAGCACTTCTGCGGGGCCGCCGTCGTCGGCGCCCGGTGGCTGGTGTCCGCCGCGCACTGCTTCACCGAGTGAGCCGCCCTGAGATGCCCCCCCCGGAGGCCCCCCCGGAGCCCCCCCCCCGCCTCGGCCTCCCCGCTCCCCCCGGTCCTCAGGGCCCGGGTGCAGAGCCACAGTGTTCTGTGTCCCTTCACTTTTCTCACCTTAGCTCAGCCCTGCGGGGTTCTGTCTTAGTTTATGATGTGCTAATCCCCACGCCTTTTTTATTTTTGATATTTATTATGATTTCTGACGATGTTGCTTGAAAATATGTCTTTTATTTTAAGTATATTTTATTGCCAAAACCGGTTTGGCTCAGTAGATAGAGCGTCGGCCTGCGGACTGAAAGGTCCCGGGTTCGATTCTGATCAAGGACATGTACCTTGGTTGCATCGATGTTTCTAACTCTCTATCCTCTCTTCCTCTCTGTAAAAAATCAATAAAATATGTTAAAAAATAATAAATAAATAAATAAAATCAATAAAAACATTAAATAAAAAATATTTTTTATTTTTTTACAGAGAAGAAGGGAGAGGAATAGAGAGTTAGAAACATTGATGAGAAACATCGATCAGCCGCCTCCTGCACACCCCCACTGGGGATGTGCCCACAACCAAGGTACATGCCCTTGACGGGAACCGAACCCGGGACCCTTCAGTCCGCAGGCCGACGCTCTATCCACTGAGCCACATGGTCAGGGCGGAACTATGTCTTGGTGACTGGGTTTGGGGCCCCCTTAGCATTGGCCCCCCGGCCGTGCAGGGGCCTCACGGGGGTGTCCGCCCGCAGGTTCCAGGATCCCACCCAGTGGGTGGCCTACGCCGGCACCACGCAGCTCAGCGGCGCCGAGGCCAGCACGGTGCGCGCCCGCGTGGCCCAGATCATCCCGCACCCCTCCTACAACCCCGACACCGCCGACTTCGACGTGGCCGTGCTGCGGCTGGCCAGCCCACTGCCCTTCGGCCGGCACGTGCAGCCCGTGTGCCTGCCCGCCGCCACGCACGTCTTCCCGCCCCGCAGGAAGTGCCTCATCTCCGGCTGGGGCTACCTCAAGGAGGACTTCCGTAAGCTCCCCTCCCGTGCTCCCTCCCCTCCCCTCCCCTGTCCTCCCCTCCCCTCCCCTGTCTTCCCCTGTCCTCCCCTGTCCTCCCCTCCCCTCCCCTGTCCTCCCCTCCCCTCCCCTGTCCTCCCCTCCCCTGTCCTCCCCCGTCCTGTCCTCCCCCCTCCTCCCCTCCCCCCGTCCTCCCCTCCCCTCCCCTGTCCTCTCCTCCCCTCCCCCCTCCTCCCCTCCCCTCCCCTGTCCTCTCCTCTCCTCCCCTCCCCTCCCCTATCCTCCCCCTCTCCTCCCCTGTCCTCCCCTCCCCTCCCCGTGCTCCCCTCCCCTCCCCTCCCCGGGCTCCCCTCCCCTCCCCTGTCCTTCCCCTCCCCTCCCCTCCCCTTCCCTGTCTCCTTCCCCCCCCCCCCCCCCCAGGAGCAGACTTGACCCCACCACGCTCCCCTTTACCCACGACTCCCACTTGCTAATGCGTATCTGGAACCCCGAGTAGATGCAGATGGGAATTTCTGCTCCACGGAGGGTGCCACAGAGAGGACGTGCTTGAGTTGAGGGCAAACATGTTCCCATTGAGGTGAAGCCCTGCCTTCTTGTTTCAGCTCAGCTGTCAGCGAGGGTCCTCTTCATGGTATATTCACCGCCATGTTTTTGTGGGTCTTTTTTTTTTTTTTTTTTTTGCATTTTTTGTTCTTTCTGTGGCTGATTTTGCTGCCCCCCTCGTGTGGCACACGAAGGCTGCCATGTGCCTCAGAGAGAAAAACGGCGTTAGATCAACTTCCTTTAGGCACGAGTTACAGCACCGCTGGCCTTGCGTTCAAGGTCACTGAGGAGCACAGGGCTCCGCTGAGGAGACAAGGCGAGGGTATCGTGAGGAAGGCAGAGGCACAGTTACACCTGCAGAGGGAAGGCACTGCTGTTGCCAGATGTTAGAAATAAGACGAGCCCCCCAAGTCAGGGGTCCTGGAAGGATACAAAGCACACGGGAGCCAGGCAGCAAGGCGAACGTATTTACTTCCATGCAGAAAGGTGCACACACATGGTCTAGAGCACCCGCACACCAGCAGGCAGGCTGCTCGGCTTTATCATCCCTGACACATGTGACCTGTCCTTTGCTCTTGATTGGAGCTCAGGTGCACAGTCTTTTGAGATTGGCTAATTCAAAGAGAGGGGGGTTGGCCTTTGCTGTTTCAAGATGGCGGCCCCCAGGGGAGCTGCAAGCCATGCGGCCAACATGGCGGCTGCCAAGTCACGCAGTCCAAAATGGCGGCCGTCTAAACTGCTCTTTGACAGAGAAGATGACTTTGTTCTCACGGTGCCCACAGCATGACATAGTGGTGCTTATCCTGAAAACTGCTTTTCCTCTTCCGCCTGGTAGCTGTCCGTCCGGCAGTCACAATCTCTGCTTTCTTACTGTCTTTGCAAACAGTTCTTTGGGACACAAGGTTGCCCAAGCCCAGCCCAAGGGTTATTTGGCCCTGTTTTTTGTTTGTTTGTTTGTTTGTTTTAGTGAACCAATAAAGCTTTATGAAAACAACTAGTGGAGATTCCAGTTAGGCACGTGCGCGTGCGCGCACACACGTCTGGCCTGCGAGATATGGGTTGCTGAGCCTTGCTCTAAGTCACAGTGGGATTAGTGGGAATGAAGATATGTCAGACGGTGGTTTGCCTCGTTTTAACATCCCACGGTCTGAGGCCTGAGAGGTACACGGCAGTTCTGGGATGGCAGCTCTGACTCCGTTTTGAAGTGGCTCCATTCCTTTAGACAGATGTACGGCCGTCCTCCGTTACGTCAGAATAGATGTATGTTGTTTCCTGGTTACGTTGCCATTTTCCATTTATTTATTAAAGAAAAAAAAAGTCCCATCATTTCGACATATGTACATCTGTGCTTTATCTTTTTTATTATTTATTTAAGCACAAGTAAAGGTCAGGAATTGTTATCTTTCTTTAAATTTTTTTTTTACTGTTTCATTTCATAACTTCTGTGTGTGCGCTCCAGGTGAGTGACGTAGGTGCTCATGTAGGTGGGTTCTGACTTACGGCGAAAATCGCCTTCCATTGAGACGTAGGCACGGATCTCCGATGTAGCCCGAGGACCTACTGTATATTAAATACGGCATATATATATATATATATATATATATATATATATATCTTTTTAAAATATATATTTTATTGATTTTTTACAGAGAGAAAGAGAGAGGGATAGAGAATTAGAAACATCGTTGAGAGAGAAACATAGATCAGCTGCCTCCTTTACACCCCCTACTGGGGATGTGCCCGCAACCAAGGTACATGCCCTTGACCGGAATCGAACCTGGGACCTTTCAGTCCGCAGGCCGACGCTCTATCCCCTGAGCCAAACCGGTTTCGGCTGGACACCTCTTAGCTGCCGGAGTGGAGAGTGTCATCAGGAGGCATTGTGGAGCCTGTACTCTCCGCTGGCTTCTGGGGCCGGTGCTGCAGCCCCTCGGCCGGCAGCTGGGGAAGCTGAGGCACAGAGAGGAGAAGTCCGTCAGCGTTCCGGCTCAGGCTGGCTGCCAGGTCCCAGAATGTTCACCCCCCTGGTCTCTCCCGCCCCGGGCAGTGATCAAGCCGGAGCTGCTGCAGAAGGCCACCGTGGAGCTGCTGGACCAGGCCCTGTGCGCCAGCCTGTATGGCAGCTCGCTCACCGACCGCATGGTGTGCGCTGGCTACCTGGACGGCAAGGTGGACTCCTGCCAGGTGAGCCCGGCCCGCAGGGGCCCAGGCCTCGCCACGCCCGAGGCAGCCCCGGGTTCTACCCGTGGTTTTTAGCACAGGATTCAGCCCTGGGTTTCCTTCTTTGTAGGTTTTTATTTCTGCGTGTGTGGTTGTTTTGTTCATCCTCACACGAGGGTGTTGTTTCCATTGACTTCTAGAGAAAGTGGAAAGGAGGAGGGGGAAGGAGAGAGACACATGGATTGGTTGCCTCTGCATGACCCCCGACCAGGGCTGAGGAATCCAACCTGCAACCCAGGTGCCTATCCTTGGCTGGGAACTGAACCTGCAGTGCAGGGGCCGACACTCTACCCACTGAGTCGCCCTGGCCAGGGCTGTAATTGATAGTCTATGTGTGTGCTCATTTCTGAAGCCTGGTGGGCGAGGAGAGACTGCTACTGTGCTCTATCCGCTGAGCCAAACAGGTTAGGGCTAGACTCTGGATTTTTTTTTATATCCCAGAGCCTAGCCCTAACTTGTTTGGCTCAGTGGGTAGAGTGTCGGCTGCAGACTCAAGGGTCCTGGCTTCATTCCAGTCAAGGGCTGTACCTTGGTTGCGGGCACATTCCCTGTGGTAGGTATGCAGGAGGCGGCTGATTGATTTTTCTCTCATTGATGTTTCTAACTCTCTATCCCTCTCCATTCCTCTCTGTAAGAAATCAATAAACTATATATTAAAAAACAACAAAATCATCCAGCACCTGGAGGAAATGTTGGGGACAATGAAGAGAGCACCACTAGTGGTCGGAGATAACGTGGGGGGTGAACACAGTGCAGTGACAGATGATGTGTTGTAGATTGTGCACCTAAAACCTGTGTAATTTTTTAAAAATAATATATTTTATTGATTTTTTGCAGAGAAGAAGGGAGAGAGATAGAGAGCTAGAAACGTCGACCAGCTGCCTCCTGCACAACCCTACTGGGGATGTGCCCGCAACCAATATACATGCCCTTGACCGGAATCGAACCTGGGACCTTTCAATCCGCAGACCGACGCTCTACCACTGAGCCAAACCGGTTTCGGCAACCTGTGTAATTTTGTTAACCAGTGTCACCTCAACAAATTAAAAAGTAAAATGAGCCCTGCCCTAGGTGGTTTGGCTCAGTGGATAGAGCATTAGCCTGTGGACTGAACCGTCCCGGGTTCAATTCTAGTCAAGGGCACATACCCAGGTTGCGGGCTTGATCCCCATTGGGCAGTGTGCAGGAGGCGGTCGATCAATGATTCTCCCTCATCATTGATGTTTCTATCTTTCTCTCTCCCTTCTCCCTTCCTCTCTGAAATCAATAAAAATATATATTAAAAATAAAATAAAATAAAATAAGCCCTGGCCAGGTAGTTCAGTGGGTTAGAGCATCTTCCTGATATGCTGAAGTTGTGGGTTCGATCCCAGTCAGGGCACATACAATAATCAACCAATGAATGCATAAATAAATAGGAAAACAAACCCCTCTCTCTCTACAAATAAATACATCAAAGTAAAATGGGCCCCTGGCCGGTGTACTCAGTGGTTTGGCCATCATCCCATGAACCCAAAGATTGCCAGTTCGATTCCTGGTCAGGCACATACCTGGGTTGCAGAATTGATCCCTGGTAGAGGGCATGCAGGAGGCCAGCCCATCGACGATTCACTCTCTCTCTCTCTCTCTCTCAAAATCAATCAATAAGTAAAAATAAAATGGGGGGAAGGAAATAAGAAAGTGCTTGTGTTTGAGAATAGCTGGGTGCGCTGGGTGTGAGGAGAAGGCGAAGGATCACAGGGCAGGGTCGGTGAGGAGAGAGCAGGCACGGCAGGAGAAGGCCCCGCAGCCTGAGCGGACTGCAGGCTCCAGCGGGAGCCACACGGCCAGCCGGAGCGAGGGTGGCTCAGTGGAGAGGCAGGGGGATGCCGAGGCAGGGACAGTGCTGACTAGGCTGGCTTGAAACGGTTAGTGGCAGAGCTGAAGGAATCTTCCAGGTCCCACGGTCCCACCGCCCTGTTTTTTTACCAAAGAGGAAGGGTAGGTTCTGAGATGTGACTTATCAGCCCCCATGTTCTCGGTGAGCTGGTGTGGGGAGCGGTCCTCCCCAGGGGCGGCTCTCGGACCCTGCGGCTCTGGGACCCGGAGCCGGGAGCCCTGACTCCTCTGAGGCGTGCCTTTGCCTCCTAGGGCGACTCGGGAGGCCCCCTGGTGTGCGAGGAGCCGTCCGGCAGGTTCTTCCTGGCCGGCATCGTGAGCTGGGGCATCGGCTGTGCGGAGGCCCGGCGCCCGGGGGTCTATGCCCGAGTGACCCGGCTGCGGGACTGGATCCTGGGGGCGATGGCCGCGGCCGGCAAGCCCCTGGCTCCCACCGCGGCTCCTGCCCCCGCCGCCCCCAGCGCCGTCTGGTCCACCAGCCCCAAGAGCCCGGCGGCCAGCACCCCCACCAGACCCACCGTGGCCCCCAGCTCCGCGCCTCCCGGCTCAGCGACGGCCTCTAAGCCTCAAGGTATGTCCGGGGGGACGGCAGGGGCGGGCGCGTGCGGCCTGGGGTCGGATCGGCTGGCGCTGGCTTCGATCCGTGGGGAAGAGATGGGTGACGGACCAGTGATGTCTTAGCACACACAGGCTAAGACACACACTCGGGCATCCTTCAGATTGATGGCCGAGGAAAGTGAAGCCATCCACTGGGGCAAACACAGACGGTCCCCAAGGGTCAACAAGAGGCCAGTGACCACGACGGGGGGACCAGGGTGGGGGAGAGACCCACTGGGTTTCCACACGTGGGCACCTCCAGAAATACCGCCTACACAGAGCAAGTATGTGTACCCTTCCATAGCCAAGACCCTTGGCTTATCCATGTTCTTTACTTTTATCTTTCATTGTGGTGACACACAAGAAACACAACATGAGCCGAAACCGGTTTGGCTCAGTGGTAGAGCGTCGGTCTGCGGACTGGAGGGTCCCATGTTCAATTCCGGTCAAGGGCATGTACGTTGGTTGCAGGCACGTCCCCGGTAGGAGGCGTGTAGGAGGCAGCTGGTTGATGTTTCTCTCTCATCGATGTTTCTAGCTCTCTATCCCTCTCTCTTCCTCTCTGTGAAAAATCAATAAAATATATTAAAAAGAAAAAAAAAAACACCACAACATGAAATCAGCCATCACACACAGTTTAGCGTGTCCGGCTCAGCTGCTAAGTCTGTTGGCCTGGTGGGTCTTGAAACACATTTACATCCGTCTTTGCTTGGTGGTTTGCAAGGGCCCAGCTCTGAGCTGCCCTCCTTTATGGTCCAGCAAAACTGCGGTGCTCTGAGCCCATCCAGACTCTCTGTCACAGAAATGGCCCCTGTACGCCAGCCCGTCCCAACATCCCAACTAACCTGTGTCCCTGTGTTTGGTGACCCCCACCGGGAGTCCGATGTGCTGTCCCCCCTTGTAGCTCATAACCCTGACCTTGGGGCTTTGGGTCTGTGTCTGGCTTCCTGTCTTGGTCTGATGGGGCCAGGGCACTTTATAATTGTATCTTTTTTTCTTAATCCTCACTTGAGCGTATTTTTTCCATTTATTTATTTTTATTAATCCTCACGCTAGGATTATTTTTTCCCCATTGATTTTTTTTTTTTTTTTTGAGAGGAAAGGAGGGGGAGAGACACACAGAGAGAAAAACATCGATAACTCCCAGTGCTTGGTTGCCCCCTGCACACGCCCCACGGGGGGCCCGGGATGGAGCCTGCACCCAGGCACGTGCCCTTGACCAGAATCAACCCTGTGACCCTCCAGTCCAAGGGCAGATGCTCTTCCACTGAGTAGGCAGCCCGGACTACTTTCTCATGTGTAACCTGTCCCCCCAGCTGTGCCACATGCTGGCTGCCTGCCTGTAAGACATAGGGCCCCTTCAGCCTCAGTGACACTGCATATGGGAGCGGTCTGCCCGGCCCAGTCAGAGCCGAGGCCTGCACCGGTGTCGGGGCCCCCAGGCTCAGGGGCTCCTCTCCCCTCAGAGTGCGGCGCCAGGCCGGCGATGGAGAAGCCCATCCGGATCGTGGGCGGGCTCGGAGCCGCCGCCGGGGAGGTGCCCTGGCAGGTCAGCCTGAAGGAAGGCTCCAGGCACTTCTGCGGAGCGACTGTGGTGGGAGACCGCTGGCTGCTGTCGGCCGCCCACTGCTTCAACCAGTAAGATGGCCGGCCCGGGAGGACTGCTCACCGGGCCCGTCCCTCTGGGGCCGTCCCTCCGGCTCCCCGGCCCCCGGGCCCGTCCCTCCGGCCTTCCCGTCCCTCCGGCTCCCCGGCCCCCGGGCCCGGCACTCAGAAACCACGTACGACCAGGGTGTGGCCCTCTGTGCTCCAGGGGCCACGGCAGAGCCCCCGCCCCTGCCCCCTCCTCCCGGCTCACCGTCCTGGTGTCTGGGTCTGATGGCAGATGAGAGGGGAGCATGAAGGAGAAGTGGGGACCCTGGGGGAGCCATCTCAGGGGAGAATAATCTGTCAAGCTGGTTTTCGGGGAGCACTAGGGGGTCCCCGGGAGGCACTGACCTCTGCGCCATCAAGCTGTCGGGGCCCCTCATGCCCCTGGGCCAGCTCCCTCTCGTTACGGACAAGGAAATGAGGCCCCCAGCCCCCCAGTTTGGGGCTGCTTTGGGGGAGCAGCCGTGGGGCCGCTCCGTCCTCCCGGTGCCCCTCCCCGGAGTCCGGCCCGGGGCAGCGGTGTCTGAGGGCCCCCTGTTGGCAGCACGAAGGTGGAGCTGGTGCAGGCGCACCTGGGCACGGTGTCGCTCACGGGCGTCGGCGGGAGCCCGGTGAAGATGGGGCTCAGGAGGACGGTGCTGCACCCCCAGTACAACCCCAGCATCCTGGACTTCGACGTGGCCCTCCTGGAGCTGTCGCGGCCCCTGGTCTTCAACAAGCACGTCCAGCCCGTCTGCCTGCCCCTGGCCATCCACAAGTTCCCCGTGGGCCGCAAGTGCGTCATCTCCGGGTGGGGCAACACGCAGGAGGGCAACGGTGAGTGCCGGGGGCCCTGCTCCCGACGCCCCGCACCGCGGCTCTGCACGCCTCCAGCCACAGGCACAGCGCGGCTCTTCCTCATACACAGCATTTACTTTTTTATTTATTTCTAACAATTATAATTTTAGATTTTTAAACAATCACAAAAAAATTGTCCAGTATTGATTCTATTGTGCTTTCTAAACCTGGCTACTTTTGCCAACTGTTTCTAAGTTTTAGTAGCCTTTAGTACACTAGTGATCTCCTGCTTTTCTTTTTTAAAATTTTTTAAATAAATCTTTATTGTTCAGATTATTACAATTCTTCCTCCTTCCCCCCCCCATAACTCCCCTTCACCCAGTCCCCATCTCACCCTCTGCCCTTATTCTCCCCCTTCACTGTCCTCATTCATAGGTGTACGATTTTTGTCCAGACTCTTCCCATAACCCCCACTCAGACACCCATTTTCCCCTGAGAATTATCAATCCCCTCCCATTTTATGCCCTTGATTCTATTATATTCACCAGTTTATTCTGTTCCTCAGATTTTTAATTCACTTGACTTTTAGATTCACTTGTTGATATGTATTTGTTGTTCATAATTTTTATCTTTACTTTTTTCTTCTTTTTCCTCTTTTTAAAGAACACCTTTTAGCATTTCATATAATACTGGTTTGGTGGTGATGAACTCCTTTAGCTTTTTCTGATCTGTGAAGCTCTTTATCTGGCCTTCAGTTCTGAAATATTCATCACTTTGAATATTTCTTGCCACTCCCGTCTGGCCTCCGTAGTTTCTGTTGAGAAATCAGCTGAAAGTTGTATGGATGCTCCCTTGTAGGTAACTAACTGTTTTTCTTTTTTGTTTTTCTTTTTTAAAATATATTTTATTGATTTTTTACAGAGAGGAAGGGAGAGAGCTAGAGAGTTAGAAACGTCGACCAGCTGCCTCCTGCACACCCCCTACCAGGGATGTGCCTGCAACCAATGTACATGCCCTTGACCGGAATCGAACCTGGGACCTTTTAGTCTGCAGACCAATGCTTTACCACTGAGCCAAACCGGTTTCGGCACTGTTTTTCTCTTGCTGCTTGTAAGATTCTCTCTTTGGCCGAAACCGGTTTGGCTCAGTTGCCAAAACCGGTTTGCTCAGTGGATAGAGCGTCAGTCTGCAGACTGGAAGATCCCAAGTTCAATTCTAGTCAAGGGCATGTACATTGGTTGCAGGCACATCCCCAGTGGGGGGTGTGCAGGAGGCAGTTGGTTGATGTTTCTCTCTCATCGATGTTTCTAACTCTCTATCCCCCTCTCCCTTCCTCTCTGTAAAAAATAAAAAAAAATATTTTAAAAAAAAAGATTCTCTCTTTGTCTTTTGCTCTTGGCATTTTAATTATGATGTGTCTTGGTGTGGTCCTCTTTGGATTCCTTTTGTTTGGGGCTCTGTGTGCTTCCTGGACTTATACGTCTATTTCTTTCACCAGGTGGGGGAAGTTTTCGGTCACTATTTTTTCAAAGAGGTTTTCAGTGTCTTGCTCTCTCTCTTCTTCTGGTATCCCCACAATTCTGATGTTGGTACACTTGAAGTTGTCCCAGAGGCTTCTTACACTATCTTCAACTTTCTGGATTCTCTTCTTGCTTTTCCGGAGGAGTGTCCTTTGCCTCTTTGTATTCTAAATCTTTGACTTGATTCTTGTGTTCCTCGATTCTGCTGTTGGGTCTCTGTATAATATTTTTTATTTCAGTCAGTGTATGTTTAATTTCTAGTTGGTCCCTTTTTATATCCTCGAGGGCGTCTCATTAAATTTATCGGCCTTTTCTAGGAAATTCTTGAAAAACCTTATAACCATGGCTTTGAACTCTACATCCAGTCGTTTGTTCTCCTCCATTTCTTCCGTTTGTGATCTGTTTCCCTGTCTCCTCATTTTTGCTGCTTCCCTGAGGTGGTGGGGTGGCTTTGTGTGCTGGGGGTCCTACATGGTTCAGTGGGTCAGCCTCCCAGTTACCTGAGGTGGACACCCTTTGTGGACTGTATGCACAGCCTTGTTGTAGTTAAGTCTTTTTTTTTAAAATTTTTATTAAGGTATTATATGTATACATATCTTACCATTGCCTGTAGTTAAGTCTTTTATATATATATATATATATATATATATATATATATATATATATATATATTTTATTGATTTTTTACAGAGAGGAAAGGAGAGTGATAGAGAGCTAGAAACATCAATGAGAGAGAAACATTGACCAGCTGCCTCGTGCACACCCCCTACTGGGGACGTGCCCGCAACCAACGTACATGCCCTTGACCGGAATCGAACCTGGGACCTTTCAGAACGCAGATGGACGCTCTACTGCTGAGCCAAACCATTTTTTGCTGTAGTTAAGTCTTGATTGTTGTTGGTGTCACTGGAAGGAATTGACCTCCAGGCCAGTTGGCTGTGAGGACCCGCTGTGTCTATAACGGAAGAATTGCTGTGCTGGAGACACATTTATGGGGCAGACTTGTCCCAGTAGGGCTTTAGTGCTCACTGAGTCCGCCTCTTGAATGTGTCACCTATGAGAGTAGTTGAAATCTGGTGTCTCACACAGTCCACTAGATACACTAGTTTCTGTATCTCCAATGGGGTGCAAGTCAGCTATTGTCTGAGGCCTCCCAGCAGGAGCTACAGTGAGAACCACAGTTTTCTCCTCTTTCTTGGGATTTGGCGGTTTTGGAGCAGTCTGACTGGAGCTGCAGTTTATTTGGTTAAGCTGCCACAGGGCAGGCCATTTATATGCAAAAACTGCTGTGTGGAGTCTGGGTGGGTTTGTAGAATGTGCAGGGCGGGGCCTCAGGGTGGGGCAGGGTCTCAGGACATCACTAGGCTGGGGCGTGGCAAACAGCGATGGCTACCATCATCTCTGCCTTTCTGCGTTTCCAAGTCCCCTGTCCCCACGTTCCAGCACAGTAAACAGTGGTTGCTGCGCGCACCTCTGCAAAAAGTCACCCTCACTTTCGGACCTGATGGCCGACAGACCAGCTTCTCCCCGAGTGGATTTCAGAGTAATTGGGAGCTTTTTTTCCTTTGGATTGACAAAAAGCTGCAAACCCAGTTGCCCACCACCAGCCCAACTTGCATGCCTCTGTACCTAGGCTCCTCAGCTTTTCAGCACTGTGCTCCTCTCTTTCAGCCAGCTTCCCCGTGGTTCTGGGTGATAGACGTTTGTCTTTTAGTTGTGGTTTTGAAATTGTTGTGTGAGGTGGCAGATTAGTTGTTTGCCTTTGCCGCCATCTTGGTTTCTCCTTATACACAACATTTAACGCACCCAGCAGAGTCCATTTGTTAACGGTGAGCGGTGCTGGCTTTCCTGCTACAAAAGCAGAGATGAGTAGCCCTGACGGAGACTGACCGGTCCTGACAGCCAGGGACATGGGCATGGGCGGGCACAAGCTGCACACGTCCTCTGTGGCCTTTCCAGAAGCAGCTTCAGACCCTTGTGCCTTACCGGTCGGAGCCCCAAGAGTGAGAGCTTCCGCCAGGACCGGTTTGGCCCAATGGATAGAGCGTCGGCTTGGGGACTGAAGGGCCCCGGGTTCGATTCCGGTCAAGGGCATGTACCTTGGTTGCGGGCATATCCCCAGTAGGGGGTGTGCAAGAGGCAACTGATCAATGACTCTCTCTCATTGATGTTTCGAACTCTCTATCTCTCTCCCTTCCACTCTGTACAAAAATCAATAAAATATATTTTTAAAAAAAGAGTGAGAGCTTCCTTTGGAAACTCAGAGTGGCCCCCCCACAGGTCACCCACGGGGCTAGACCAGTGGTCGGCAAACTCATTAGTCAACAGAGCCAAACACCAACAGTACAATGATTGGAATTTCTTTTGAGAGCCAAAATTTTCAAACTTAATCTACTGCCACTACTTCCAAATAGACTTGTCCAGCTGAGGTCTTTTGTGGAAGAGCCACACTCAAGGGGCCAAAGAGCTGCATGTGGCTCACAAGCAGTGGTTTGCCGACCACGGGGCTAGGAAATCGCTTGGGACAGGGCTGAGATGCTAGGGCTCCCGAGACCCAGGCTCCGCCTCCATCTTGCTGTGTGAGCCTCAGTTTCTTCACCTGCAGGAGGAGGAGGGTGCCTTTCAGAGCTGAATGGTTGACTGAACAGCGATCACTGTGTCATTATTGGGGGGCGGGGGTGTCTCCTTTTCCCGGTAGCGACGAAGCCAGACACTCTGCAGCGCGCGTCCGTGGGCATCATCGACCAGAAGGCCTGCAGCGCCCTCTACAACTTCTCGCTCACGGACAGGATGCTCTGCGCCGGCTTCCTGGAGGGCAAGGTGGACTCCTGCCAGGTAGCCCTCCACAGGGGCGGAGCGGGTTCAGAGGAAGAGCCGCACCTGCCCCCGGGCAGGGCTCCTTCGTTCAGATTTGAGGATTTCAGGGAGGGGAAGTCTGGGATTGAACTAAATGTCTCTAAGTGCGAGTCATTTAGAGAAAGGATGGTATGTCCCAGCAGGAGAGGAGGTAGCAGGTTAAAGTGTGTGGGAGGCCCTGGCCGGTGCGGCTCAGTTGGCTGAGTCTTGTCCCATGCACCATGAGGTCGCCAGTTTGATTCCCAGTCAGGCCACATGCCCAGGTTTGGGGCTCCATCCCCAGTGGGAGTCCTGCAGAAGGTATCTGATGGATGTTTCTCTCTCCCTCTCCCTTCCTCTCTCTCTAAAATCAAAATAAAACTATATTTTTTAAAAAAATGTAAATCGGCCGGGACCGGTTTGGCTCAATGGATAGAGCGTCGGCTTGGGGACTGAAAGGTCCCGGGTTCGATTCCGGTCAAGGGCACGTACCTTGGTTGCGGGCATATCCCCAGTGGGGGGTGTGCAAGAGGCAGCTGATCGATGACTCTCTCTCATCGATGTTTCTGACTCTCTATCTCTCTCCCTTCCTCTCTGTACAAAATCAATAAAATATATTAAAAAAAATAAATAAAAATAAAAATAAAAAATGTAAATCGTTTCTAAGAATGTAGTAGTTATATACAAAATGTACACATACTTCAATATATTTATATTCATATTTAGTCATATTTTATATGTATCCTGTTTCCCCGAAAATAAGACAGTGTTTTATATTAATTTTTTCTCCCAAAGTTGCGCTAGGTCTTATTTTCAGGGGATGTCTTATCTTTCCATGCGCTAGGTCTTATTTTCGGAGGATGTTTAATTTTTTGGGAAACACGGTACCTATTTAAAAAGGGATACATTGTAAATATTTAAATGTATTTTTTAAAATATATTTTATTGATTTGTTTACAGAGAGGAAAGGAGAGGGATAGAGAGCCAGAAACATTGATGAGAGAGAAACATCAATCAGCTGCCACCTGCACACCCCCCACTAGGGATGTGCCCGCAACCAATGTACATGCCCTTGACTGGAATCGAACCCGGGATTTTTCAGTCCGCAGGCTGACACTCTATCCATTAAGCCAAACCAGCCAGGGCTTAAATGTATTTTTATTGATTTCAGAGAGGAAGGGAGAAGGAGAGAGAGATAGAAACATCAATGATGAGAAAGAATCATTGATCGGCTGCCTCCTGCACACCCGCAACCCGGGCATATGCCCCTGACTGGAATCGAACCCAGAACCCTTCAGTCCACAGGCCGATGATGTTCTATCCACTGAGCCAAACCAGCCAGGGCAGTGTATAGTAACTGAAATAAACTAATCCCAGATCAGTACACATATACCCACACCGTCCAACAGGATTCACTCCGGGGGGTGGGGCATGGGGACGAGGGCGGGGCTGCTGCAGACCCTGCGGCCTGTCCCCTGCCCTGTCCTCGCGCTCCCCTGACGGCCTCTCCCGCTGTGGGGGTGCAGAGGTGCTGGCAGTGCCCTCTGCAGAGAGGTGCCCGGTGGCACAGCCAGCCCTCTGCTTCTCTGCAGGGCGACTCCGGGGGCCCCCTCGCCTGTGAGGAGACGCCCGGCGTGTTCTATCTGGCGGGGATCGTCAGCTGGGGCGTCGGCTGCGCTCAGGCTGAGAAGCCCGGCGTGTACGCTCGCATCACCAGCCTGAAGGGCTGGATCCTGGACGTCATGTCCTCCTCGCCCCTCCCCACACCTGCCTCCTCCACCACAAGGACGCCCGCTGCCACCACGCATGTGCCCGGGACGATGGCTGGCCTCCCAGCCCTGGGGGCCACAGCCAGCAGGCCCACCCTCCGGACCACCCTCCGGACCACCAGCCAACCTGCCAACAGGACCGCCAGTGCCGTGGCCACCACCGCCGGGGGGCAGACGCCACTCCCAAACGCCTCGCGGGCCACCAAGGACCCCCAGCTTCCAGGTACCGGGAGGCCTGGGTGACAGGTGTCGGTGGCCGGGTCCGGTGTCGGTCTGTCAGGGCTGCTGTCAGCATCCCGCAGGTTGGGGGCTCACATTGACTGGCTCCCAGTTCTGGAGGCCGGGTGTTGGCAGGGCTGGTTTCTCCTGAAGCCACTCTCCTTGGCATGCCGACGGCTGCCTTCCCCCGGTGTCCGCACAGGGCCGTCCCTGTGACTGTGTCCTCATCTCTTCTTAGAAGGACTCCAATCATATTGGATTAGGACCCACACCCAATGACCTCACTGCACCTTAATCACTTCTTCACAGGCCCCGTCTCCCCACAGCCACATTCTGATGTGATCAGAGCTTCACGTGGCTTTTGTGGGGACACCAGTCTGCCCATCATCATCCTGACAGCCAGGGACATGGGCATGGGCGGGCACTGAAGAAACAGGCACTGAATGGGCAGACCTGCACCACCTAGTGGCAAATGTCTTAATCTGCAATCCCTGTCAGCTCCCATTTAAAAAAAATATATATATATATTTTATTAATTTTTTAGGGAGAGGGAGAGAGAATTAGAAACATCAATGAGAGAGAAACATCGATCAGCTGCCTCCTGCACACCTCCTACTGGGATGTGCCCTTGACCGGAATCGAACCCGGGACCTTTCAGTCCGCAGGTCGACGCTCTATCCACCAAGCCAAACCGTTTAGGACAGCTCCCATTTTTAAAAAAGGAAACTTCAGGGGTACACGAGGGAGTCCCTGGCCAGGGTCTCCATCAGGGGATTCTCCATCCACTCATTCCATGCTCATAAAGCCCCCTCTGGGCCAGACCCCATGCTAAGCTCGGGAACAGCAGGGACCCAGAAGGTGGAGAAACAGACTCGTAGCAGAATGGTACATAGGAGAGAGGACCGAGCAGGACCAAGCTAGGGCACAGGGCCAGCTGGGCTCCAGGCTCCCGTTATGGGCTGACAGGGTAGCTCACTGGCCAGTAGAGACACTGAGAGAGAATGTAGCCCTGAGATCCTTCCTTTCATGTCTAAAATGCTGAGTTCACTTTTATTAATTACTAGAGGCCCTGTGCACGAAATTCATACACTGGGGGGAGGGGGAGAGGGGAGAGTGTCCTTCAGCCCAGCCTGTACCCTCTCCAATCTGAGACCCCCAAGGGGGGGTCATTCCTCTCACAATTTGGGACTGCTGGCTCTCAACCACTTGCCTGCCTGCCTGCCTGCCAGCCTGATCACTCCCTAACCACTTCCCTGCCAGCCTAACTGCTCCCCTGCTGGCCTGATCACCCACAACTGCCCTCCCCTGCCAGCCACCTTGTAGTGGCCATCTTGAGACCACATGGGGGCGTCCATCTTGTGTGAGGGCATGATGGTCAATTTGCATATTGGCTCTTTATTATATAGGATTAATCAGAACTATATAAAACTGCTGTATTTGTTGGCCAAAAATAAAGCCCCATCAGGTAGAGGCAATTTCATGTGGCTCAAGCTAAGGCTAAGTCAGCAGGAGCCTGGGGGACCACAGAGAAAACATCCTGACTTCTGCGACATGGGATCTGCCAGGTGCACCCCACGTTAGCGAACCGCCCACTCTCCAGGCAGACAAGAGCTTACTGCTCTCAGATCCAGATTCTGGGGCCACGTCTGGGCTGCTTTCGCTCAGATGCGGAGGCGGAGAGCAGGCTGCTCTGATGAGCTCGCAAAGCGGGCAGATGCTCAGCACACAGGCTGCCGGTCTGTGCAGGCTGCACCCACCTTCCTCCTCACTGCGCCCTTCCCCACAACTCCCACTGCCCCAAGTCCCACATCGTCTTCACGGCGGCTCCTTACAGAGACGGATGCAAGGAGAGGTCTCTGCCTCTTCCTTCCATCATCAGTCCCCTCCCTGGGCCCTCCTTAGGCCCATTGTCCTTCAGATTGGTATGGGCAGGGGTATGTGTGTATGTGCCTTTTAACCCCATTAGAGAAGTTTGGGGAAAGCTCCCCATGATCCCACTGCTCCGTCATATCCTTCCTGACATATCATAAGGGCCTTACCTTTTCCCCCTGCACATGGTCAGGCAGGGCCTGGCTCCATGAGCCTGTCACCCAACAGACCTGAGCCCACCAGGCAACCAGGCGGCTGCACACCAGAGGAACCAGGAACGGGTCGCCAGGAGGCCAGGATCTGGGGGCGGAGCGCTGTGTAGGTGACCTTGAGGTGAAGCAGGGTTCTCAGCGGCTCAGACGGAAGCAGACCATGTGCCAAGGGCCTGGATGAGGGTTCGGAGGGTGGGGAGGACCTGGGTCCGGTCTCCTTGGGAATCACAGTTAAGACAGAGGCGACGTGTTGAGTCTAGAACCCCCTTATCCGAACCTGCATCCGGACTGGAAATTAAGGCAAAGTTCCGGGATTTAGACCCTCCAGACCCAAGGGGACCTTTCCTTCGCAGCCGTTTCTGCCGGTCTGGTGCGAGGCACAGGGTTCCAGCAGGGGCACTCAGAGAATGTAGGTGTGATCCTGTTCAGCTGTAACTGTTCTTGGGAGAAACAGTCAACTCCCTAGCTAGCTTCATCTGGTTTTGACCTTTAGCCTGGTGATTTTCACATTTCCAGGAGCTACGGGCAGGCGTCCGCTGTGGGGGCAGCGTTTCCAGGAAAGGGAGCACAGATCCTGCCAGATTCCCCGGCTCCTGGGCCCTGGGCAAGGTCCAGATGGGTGGAGGCGGTGGGGCTAGCGGGGACAGGAAGGTGGCCTCTCGTCTCCCCATCTCTTCTCCAGCCGAGGCCAGAGCGGGAGCCTCCCTGCCTGGAGGGCGGTGGAGGCAGCTGGGGGTGGGAGCGGCTGGGAAGGGGCAGGCTCCCAATGGCTGTGGGACCAGGTGGGGAGGCGTGCCCCTGATGGGTGACACCGCCCTGTGCTTTCCGCAGTTGTGTTCTGAGGGTGCACCTTGTGCTGGGGGTGGCGGGTGTCACAGCACAGCGTGTCTGGGAAGACAGACTAGCACGAGCTGGTGGGCAAGCAGGGCCTCCTGGTGCTAAGGGTGTGGGAAGATCTGAGCCGGCAGAGAACCCAGCTCCTAAGGGACGGAGAAGCCTGGAAGGCGTGGTGGGGCGAGGACAGTATCCTGGTCCCCATCCGGGGAGGAGGCGTGCCCCAGGCTGAGGTTGTAGGAAACGTACTTCAATGCATTTCCAGTAGCATCTGGGAAAAGCAGAGGCGGCGTTTGTAGGACCGAGTCCAGTGTTTGTGCGGAGTTTTTCGGGGTGGGTCCCCTCGCCTCCCCCAGGGGCCCAATGCCCTGTGCCCGCTCTCCTGCAGACTGCGGCCTGGCGCCCGGGGCAGCGCTGACCAGGATCGTGGGCGGCAGTGCCGCCGGCCGCGGGGAGTGGCCGTGGCAGGCGAGCCTGTGGCTGTGGCCCCGGGAGCACCGCTGCGGGGCCGTGCTGGTGGCGGGGCGGTGGCTGCTGTCTGCCGCGCACTGCTTCGACGTGTGAGTCTCGCCTGTCCCCATGCCCCGGCCCATCGAGGTTCACCGGAAATGACTTATGACCCCAAAACGTACGGTCATGCCCCCACCCCGCCACTGCTGCCCCTAGTCCGCGCAGCCCACCCCTGCCCACTCACCACACGGGGCTGCAGGGATTCAATCCTACACACGCTCACGTACACCTCCTGCCCCGAACCCCAGGCTGCAGCCTCTTCCAGTCCAGGGCCCCGCGTGGTGATGCACGGGGCATGGCGCCTCTCCATTCTCCAAAGGCCACACAATGGGGAGCCCTTCATGGCAGGCTGCTCAGCAGGTGGCCCTCCCTCCTTGGAGACACCAGTTCTTGTGCACATTGCACTCTGCAGGACGGGGTCAGAGGGAACGGGCGGGAACTGGCCACCAGAGCCCTAATATTGGGCAGAAACGGATAACCTGTGATGTCACCTCATTGCTGTGGGTGCGTTTCAGGGAGGCCCCCCCCGCACTGTCCTAGGAGGAAGGGATGACTCACCCCAGAGGCTAAGCCCTGCCACAGGGCCCTGCCCACCCCCGAGGCACAGGCCAGGACCAGCCACAGCCCCGTGGGGCAGAGTCCAGAGGAGCACAGGCGGGTGGTGACTGGGGTGCCGGAACCCAGGACACCTGTCCCCACGCACCCTACAGCTACGGAGACCCCAAGCAGTGGGTGGCCTTTCTGGGCACACCGTTCCTAAGCGGCGCCGACGGGCAGCTGGAGCGCGTGGCCCGCATCTACAAGCACCCCTTCTACAACCTCTACACGCTCGACTACGACGTGGCGCTGCTGGAGCTGGCGGGGCCTGTGCACCGAAGCCGCCTGGTTCAGCCCATCTGCCTGCCCGAGCCTGCACCCCGGCCCCCCAGCGGGACACGCTGTGTCATCACTGGCTGGGGCTCCGTCCGAGAGGGAGGTAGGCGAGTCCAGCACGAGGAGCCAGGCCCGCACCCTCAGGGGTTATCGGTCTGGCGTGGGGGCATGAGGAAGGCCTCCGGCCGGTCCCTCGTGGCTACTGCCCGTCTCGCCCGCAGGCTCCATGGCGCGGCAGCTGCAGAAGGCGGCTGTGCGCCTCCTCAGCGAGCAGGCCTGCCGCCGCTACTACCCCGTGCAGATCAGCAGCCGCATGCTGTGCGCCGGCTTCCCGCAGGGCGGTGTGGACAGCTGTTCAGTGAGCACACTTTAAAACCGGAATGGGTGTCTGCCAGGGTGAGGGCCCATCCATCCAGGAGAGCAAGGTTCTGGTCGCTCTAAGCCCACAGCCAGGACCCTCTGGTACAAACTTAAGCTGATCAAGCAGGGAACCTCTTCACCCTCAGATGTTTCCATGGACCACCGTTTATTGGGCATCCATCACAAGCCAGTCCCCCCCGAGCCTCACTGCCGCCCTGCAGGCGAGGAATGGGAACAGGCTGCATGCAGGGTGAGGCCGTGGCGCTAGGGAACCTGTGGCAGGTGCTCACAGGTGTCTGCCAGCCAGAGGAGCGGCTTACCTGGCCCTAAGCCCATTTCCCAGGTAGTAAAAGTGAGGCTCACAGGGATGCTCACTTGGTGTCACATGGAGAGCCCAGGAGACACTCCCGTGGTGGCCAGCCCCCCAAGGTGTGCGGATCGGATAGCCCTCTCCTGCCCGGGGGTTGCTCTAGGGGGGTGGGGGAAACTGGCCTGCTCTCTGAGTGCCTTTCCTCTCTCCTCCCTCAGGGTGATGCTGGGGGACCTCTGGCCTGCAGGGAGCCCTCTGGCCAGTGGGTGTTAACTGGGGTCACCAGCTGGGGCTATGGCTGCGGGCGACCTCACTTCCCAGGTGTCTATACCCGGGTGGCTGCTGTGAGAAGCTGGATCACACAGAACATCCAGGACTGACCACCCCATGGCTGTGCAGACCTGGGAGGACAAGGCAGTCGTAACCAACCAGCCAGCGGTCCCACAGGGGGGTTCCAGCCCAGATGGTGGGCGGGAGAGCTGCGGGCAGCGGGAGTACAGTTTCACTGTATCTTTTGTTCCAATAAAAAGCCCCTTGTCCCTAACTTACTGGCTCATACACTTGCACATCACAGCAAGAACTACTTGCTTGCCCATGACCCAGGGCCTAAAGGTGGGCTGAAAGATGGGTGGAGTGAGGTAGCAAGACCTCCCAGGAAGAGGGCTGCCGTAACCCCAACCCCAAAGGCTGGGGTTCAGCCTCATCTTCAAGGTTCCTTTTATGTCATCCAGGAACCAGTAGCAAGCGCCCAGGGAGAAAATGGGCGTTGGGGCAGAGGCTAATGCTCAGTCTGGGCAGGGACCCAGGTACCCCAGACACAGGCCTCCAGGGAAGACACTCTGGACTCTCTCCACCCCTCCCTCATCCATTTATTTGTCAGCCCACCAACAGGAGGTCACAGCTCAGGTGGGGTCTGACCATATCCCCACCCTCCAGGCCCACAGGAAGTCTGTGGCTAGGGCATAAAGGTGACCGGGGCACACCAGGAAAGGTGCCACAGCGCTGCCAGCACTTTGGGAAAATCCAGGGTCCCCAAGTCACCAACTACACTCGCTGGCAGGTGGGAGGGAGGTCGGCCTGGCCAGGGGGAGGGGGACAAAATCCCAAGTGTCCCAGCACCAGTCTAATCCTCATAAACCACGGGCAGGCAGCACGCACACGCTGGCCCCTGCCTCACAAAGCACATTTATGGAAATCGAACACGGGTGGGGCGGCCCGCTGGCTCGGCCAGGCTCCGCATTTCCCGATCACATGTTGGCTCGTTCTCGCTGCAACCGCGAGTTGTAGGCGCGGGATACGGTGTTCCAGGCGTCCATGTAGCGGTCCATGCACATGGCAATGCATTTCTGGAGGCGAGGAAAGCGCAGGGATCAGCTAGGGTTTCCCTAACCCGCGCCCTTCCCTCCGGGCAGTGGACTGCGCACGCGCAGCGGCCCCACGACCCGCCCCCTTCATTCGCGCACGCGCAAAGGCCCCTAGCCAGTCCGAGCCCAAGACCCACGCCGGCCCCAAGGGTCTCACCTGCTCCGAATTGTCCAGAGAGCCCCCCGGCTTCCCGATGCACTTCCGGAAGCACTTGTCCGTCATCCTCTGTGGGGACATGCAAACCCTCAGCCGCTACGCCCGCCTCCTGGCGGCCCCCGCGGCCCTCGGCCCCCGACCCCCGACCCCAGCCCGGCCCCGGACCTGCAGCAGCTCCTGCGCGTTGGCCACAGCGATCTGCACCTTCACCTGCTCCATGATAAGCCCGGGGTCCAGCTTGCCGCTGCCGGAGCCGCCGAAGTCCGAGCTGAAGCTATCCATAGCTCCGCAAAGTCAACCGGCTCGGGGCCGCGTGCGCCGACCCGTACCTGCGCCGGAAGTTCGGAGGCGCGTGGGCCCGTGGGAAATGGAGTCTGGGCGTGCTGGGGGCGGGGCGACGGTCCAGACCACAACTCCCACAAGCCCTCGGTTACGTTGGGAGCTGAGGTCTCGCGTAGATTGCGGGGCCGCAGGCTGCGCCGGGAGCGGGTGACTCCGACCTCTTCGCGGGGAGAAGCTTTCCGAGCCCAGCTCCAGCCCATCCCACCGCGCATGCGCAGGGGTGGGTGGCGGCACGTGGGTGCTCGCCGCCGGAAGTGGAGCTCGGAGAAGCCTCCTGGGCGCCTCGGGAGTTGGAGAAGCCGCCATGGGGAGAGCCCGCGGGAAAACCAGTGCGGAAAGCGACGGCAGCAGGTACCTCCCGGGGAAGTCAGGAAGTGGAGCCGGTCTGCACCTGCCAGTGGTACCTAACTAAGTGTGTGTGGGTCCTCACCCCCGGTTAACCCGGAGGAAGAGTATGCCTGCCCGAAAGGACTCCTGTGTCAGCTGGGCTCGAATTCCTAGCCAGAGCCTCGCTGCCATTGCTCGCAGGGGCCTCTCGCCCCCGCATTGCATTTTGGGGAGAAGCTGCAGATAAGTCTGCAGACGTCAGGCTGCGTTCTCTCTTTGGTCACTCCCGGACCAGCTGTAGTCCATAGAGCACAGTGTTCGGGAGGTTACTTCTCGTCGTGAGCTCTGTGTCTTCCCCTTCATGCCAGTGCAGAAAGGAAAGAAAGAAAAAAGATCTCTACCCGATTTTACCCAGTCGTTAGAGCGGCGGCCGCGGCCTGAAGGGTCGCGGGTTCGATTCTGGGCAAGGGTGCGGCGTGGGTCAGGACGCGCGTGGGAGGCAACCAATTGTTGTCACTCGCTTCATTGTTTCTCTCTTTCTCCCCTCCCTCCCCTCTCTAAAAATCATTGGTGATCCGGGGAGAGGGGAGAATATCCTCAGGTGAGGATTTTTAAAAAATTTTATTTTTAAATTGAAGTGCATTTTTTTAAAAATAGTAAGTTACATTTTATTTATTTATTTATTTATTTAATATATTTTATTGATTTTTCACAGAGAGGAAGGAAGAAGGATAGCCGGAAACATCGATGAGAGAGAATCATCAACCAGCTGCCTCCTGCACACCCCCACTGGGGATGTGCCCGCAACCAATGTACATGCCCCTGACCGGAATCGAACCCGGGACCATCCACTGAGCCAAACCGGTTTCGGCTTGAAGTACATTTTAAGTGATGTCAGAGAGAATAAGCTTTACAGTTTAAGTTATCTATTATTATGGATACCACTTAATGTAATTTTGGAAGTTAGTGGTTCTGTAAATTGCATTATTGCAGTTAAGTGTGCTATATGACGGATTGGTGTTTTCTTTGAGGCAGAAGGAACATTCCTTTCTCAGACATCATCCAGCAGGTACTCAGGCCCTCCCCCCCCACACACACACACACACTGCGCGAGGTGCTGTCGAGGTTACCGGAAGGGTGAACCCTGCCACTATTCACTAAAACTATCGGGTCTAGTAATAATTAATGTCGTTTTTAAACATTCGTTTAAAATCTTGCTTGGCGTTGACTTGTATTGACATAACCTTCAAACACGTGGTATCTACAGAACGTGTGAAGTGCAATTAACAAGTTTTGCTTGAAAAAGTTTGTGTTTGGTTTGTTTTTTGTTGCAAAACTAGGGCTAAGAAGATGACGGATGAAGAGCATATTAGGCACTGCATGCTTTACGAGTTCCAATTAGGAAGAAAAGCAAGTGAGGCTGCACAAAACATCTGTAGTGCTCTTGGTCAAGATGCAGTTAGCGCCAGAAAATGCCAGCATTGGTTTGAGAAATTTCGCGAGGGGAATTTTTCGTTAGATGACAAGAGTGTGTCCAATTTTGATCAAGAAGCTCTTTAAGCTCTTTTGGTGCAAAATCCTCAAATTACCCAACAAGAGCTTGCGACAACTTTAAATTGTTCACAAAAAACAATTCCCAATCAATTGCGTGCACTTGGCAAAGTCCAAAAGTTTGGAAAATGGGTTCCTCATGAGTTGACCGACAACAACCGTAATCAAAGAGTCACAATTTGCAGTTCGCTCCTCTCTCATCAAAACGGTTTGCCGTTTTTAGAGCAAATTATTACCAGAGGTGAAAAATGGGTGCTGTATGTTAATCTGAAAAGGCGGCCTCAATGGTTGGACAAAAATGAGGCTCCGCAGCCCACGCCAAAACCTGACTTGCATGCGAAAAAAGTGATGTTGTGTGTTTGGTGGAATTTTAAAGGAATTCTTCATTATGAACTTTTACCATCTAACCAAACCATTACAAGGGCAGTGTATAGTGCCCAATTGGAAAGGTTAGCCCAAGCTTTAAGAGAAAAAGAACCCGCGCTGATTAATCGGAAGGGCGTAATTCTTCACCACGATAACGCACGACTGCATACTGCAAGAATCACTGCTGAAAAACTGCGCCAGTTGGAATGGGAAGTTCTCCCTCAACCTGCATATTCTCCTGATATTGCCCCTTCCGATTACCATTTGTTTCATTCTTTGCAAAACTTTCTTCTTGGAAAAAAATTTAATAATGAAGAATGCCTCAAAAATGCATTGACCGAATTTTTTGCATCAAAATCACAAGAATTTTACAACAGAGGGATTAAAATGCTTCCTGAGCATTGGGCACAAGTAGTAGAAAACAATGGCAACTATATTGTTGATTAAATTTTGTTGTATTGTTTAAATAAATTCGATTTAAAAAAGTATTAGAAAACGACATTAATTATTACTAGACCTAATATTTCGTTTCATAGGAGAGATGAAACTGCTACCTGACAACTAGGGAATGACCTGACTTCATTAGCAGCTGGCTTTAACTTCCCGACCACTGAGCCAGAGATATATTACAACCGGAGACTTGACTTCCTGGAAAACAAGTCCTATACAATAGCAGCAACATTCTGGAACATACAGGATCTAGTAAACAAATTCCGTTTACTAGATCCTGTAGAGAGCATCCACCTGAGCCCGGAAACCGCAGTGAGAGTAATAGATTGGTGAGAATGTGCTAAATTGGTAAAAAAAATTGAGTTCTCCCCTTTTCACCTGTGAAATCAGGATGAAGTATTGAAACGGGAAGAGTTTATTTTTCTTATTCCCATCTCACCTCCTTCCTTTTTGGCAACCATCAGCTTGTACTCTGCACTAATGAGTCTGTTTTGTTTTGTTATGCATTTTTTTTTGTTTGTTTGTTTTAAAAATATATTTAATTGATTTTTTTTACAGAGAGGAAGGGAGAGGGATAGAGAGCCAGAAACATTGATGAGAGAGAAATGTCTTTCAGCTGCCTCCTGAACACCCCCACTGGGGATGTGCCTGAAACCAAGTACATACCCTTGACGGGAATCGAACCTGAGACCCTTCAGTCCACTGGCCAACACTCTATCTATTGAGCCAAACCGGTTAGGGGGCTGCCTTTGTTTTGTTTTTTAAGACTCTACGTATAAATTAAGCCATATGGCATTTGTTTTTGTCATCCTGGCTTCTTTTACTTAATAGATTGATGAGAATGTAGGTCCATCCATGTTGTCACAAATGGTCAGATTTCACTCTTTTTATGGCTGAGTAATAGTCCAAGTTTATTTTCACGTGTCACAGTACACATGAAAACTGTTCTGTTGTCCCACCGCTCCCCTCCAGAGCTGTCCTCTTGGACAGGAAGAGGGGAGAGTCTTCCAGATGTGGCTGTGAGAAAACACCCAGAGTTGCAGCCCCGCGGGCTCTGGGTGAAACAGAGCAAGTAACTGATGGAAAGGGGCTCCCTCGCTCCTTACTGTCTGGTCGAGTCATCCCTGGGTGAGTGGGCACCATCAGGAGGTGGGCGGGAGGACTCATCATTGGGGGCCCAGGCGTCATTGGCATGTGCCCTCCCATAGGCGGCCATCATCCCAGGAGGGGGAGGCCCATACGGGGTGCTGGCGGTACCCCAGGGCAAGAAGGGCCTGGAAGACGGGGGTGGGATCGTTCCCCTGCAGGAGGAGCAGAGTGGAGTAGGAGGTGCCCTTCCTTGCTGAAATGCTGCAGTTGTTTTCAGTTGTGCTCTTGCCTCCATTTCTGATAGTCGTCACATTCTCTGTGTTTGCTGCCACTGCAGGATGTCTTCCTCACAGACGGAGAGTCACGGGTGAGGTGGGTATGGCAGTAGTCGCCAGAAGACTTGGACAACTCTGTTCATTGCACCACCTCTTTGTCCTCTCCCCCCCACACACACACATTGACCCCTTATAGCCTATGCCCATCCCCCACCCTGCCTCAGGCCTTCACCACCCTATTGTCCATGTCCATGGGTTATGCATATATGCATAAAGTTCTTCGATTGATCCCCTCCCACCTTCCCTCTGAGATTCCATAGTCTGTTCCATGTTTCTATGTCTCAGTTTTGTTCAACAGTTTATTTTGTTCATTATTTTCCACATGTGAGAAAGATCCTGTGATACTTGATTTTTCTTTGACTGGCTTATTTCACTTAGCATAATGCTCTCTAGGCCCCTCCAGGCTGTCTCAAAGGGTAAGAGATCCTTCCTTTTTACTGCTGCAGAGTATTCCATGGTGTAAATGTACCAGTTTTGTGGGGTTTTTTTGTTTGTTTGTTTGTTGTTTTTTATTTCAGAGAGGAAGGGAGAGGAAGAGAGAGACAGAAACATCAATGATGAGAGAGCATCATGGATTGGCTGCCTCTTGCACTATCCCACTGGAGATTGAGCCTGTAGCCTGGGCATGTGCCCTGACCATGGAATCGAACCATGACCTCTGGGTTCATAGGTCAATGCTCAATCACTGAACCACCATGGCCAGGCTTACCACAGTTTTTTTATCCACTCATCTGTCGATGGGCACTTGTGCTGTTTCTAGATCTTAGCTATTAAATATCGTGCTGCTATGTACTACCTCTCTATCTAATTTCTATGGCTTAG